TTGAGAGAAAAATGTAGAGACCGAAAGAATGAAGCAATTCGCATGAATGGAGATGGAATTTGTTATTTGGTAAGAGAACAGCTCCATCGATTTTCCTATTTACGTACTGCCTGCCATATTATCTTCGTCCATGTGTGTACCCATACATCGCTAGATCTGTTTACGAGGAACGATTAATAACTATCTACTGTATCCAGGTTACAGGAACATCTCTCAAAAGACCCTCCTTTATTACTGGCATAAGTGATAAAATTAATCAATGGAGCATAACTAGAAGCCATTGATTGGTCTTACCTATATAAAGCCAAGAATAAATCACTCGCAATTTTCTCTTACATCCTTTCTGATTTTTTTACATCATTTAAGTCATATAATTCACATTTATATGCATTTACATTACATGTAATTGATATTTGTAGCTTTTGAATAAGTAATATTTTATAATATTACAGTTATATGATACACGTATGAAAGCGTAAATGAAAAAATAATGAATATCCTTGAAAACAGCTATCCGAGAAATTTTGATTACGTAAAAAAGAGCACATTTGCTTTTTACATTGCATATGCAGCTTATGTGTCTTGCATCTTTCTCTCCGATATCACTTAACGTTACTAATTTACAGATAGTAATTCATCAAAGTCATAAATCTTACAACGGAGATAGTCAATCCCCAAAGTTAGTTTTCAAAGGCAAAAGCGAGTATGATCATATATCGTCCTTTCCATTAATATTATCTAATAAAAGATCTCAGAAAGCGTATCTCTCGCAAAATGCTTTCTGCTTTTATATACCTAATTTTTTTTAAATATGTAAGAAAAAGAGGAAAAAAATGAAAAAAATATTTGAGAAGAAGAATTAATAAAATTATCATATCAGAAAGTTTCTTTATAATTATTAAATTAAATAAAATAGTAATTAAAATGCAGGAGATATTTCTATAAAAATTCTTCAAATATTTCGTACAGTTACTTATGAAATATTACGAGTATAATATATTACGAGAAAGTTAAAAAATTTCATATTATGTAACTATAAATAAAAAAAACAAATGCTATATATCTGTACATAAATTAGAATATGGATTTATAATATTGATTTTTTAACATCGATTTTTAACAATATTCAAATATGATCAATATTTACATCACGTAAATCGTATTATATACATGTATATTAAATATGATAGTTATGCTTTAGATGAGAATGTATCACTATTGTTTGCAACATTGAGCTGCATGCATCTTCGTCTTTACATGTATACTTTAATTCATACATTCACACAGAAAAAGCAAATAGCGATAAATCAGTGATAATTATAGTGATTTGTCCTAAAGATAAACATACCACGTGCACATCTGCGAATAAAAGTTCTCGTCCAGAGTGCTTCAAGCAACATTTACGTCATTTATCACGTATTTACTACTCTCGTTATCTTTAAAAGTCTGTAAAAGTCTTCTATGATAATAATGTCTGAAAGTTGATAACTCTGTTATATTTAAACTAATTTTGACATGCTCTTGCATTTTGAAATATTAATAAAAATTCGTATACGTAAAATCTATGAAAAATTAGTAGAAAAATAAAGCGGACGCAAATGTTTTTTTACAGAGATTTTTCTCTCTCTTTCTCTATATATATAATAAAAATTAAATTGAAGAAAAACTTTTACAGTGGGATATAAAGTACAACTTTTTCTTTCTGAAGACTTAACGAGAGAGATTTAGTTTAATTTATTACGAACGTTTAATTGCTTTTTATGATTTTCTGGATTTCTAATCGCATAGCAAATAGTCAACATCAATTTTAAAATCATCAATGAAATGAGTAACATCCAGCCTTCTATACGATAGTAAAAATAATTTCTTGTTTCGAAGAAGTAAAGGCGATTTATATAGGCTTTCTACGGATTCTCCGCACCTGTTAGACATTCCGTTTCCTACTTATTCTTTAATGATTCTTCAAAACAACGTAATATATTCTTACTTTTGTGCCAAAAGAAATATCTGACTCAAACAAAACAAAAAGCGAAATCTACACACATGATAACGTAAACGCCTCGATGGATGTTTAAACAAATTGGTTTAAACAATCGTACGTACATCACAGATTATAAATCGTCTTGAATATTTTGCATTACCAATCCTGACAGCAATTTTTTTCAGGCGAAGAAAGGAAAGAAGAAATTTGTAAATATAAACATTGTATCTTTTGTTCAATTTGTTCAAGAATTGCAAATAAGATTACTTAAAAATTTTTTACGGTTCCTTGATTTCATAAATGAAAATTATATCGCCATTCTTGTCGCGTTTCCGCGATTATTATCGACAGCAATATTCATAATCGTTTATTCGCATTAATTAATATAATATTAATATTAATAAATACGATATTTTGTTAACTCATCAATGAATCATTTATTCCGTTTTATCAAACGCATTACCCAGAGTCATTCGCGAGAAAACATACAACTGTAATATGATGTATTTTTTCATAAAAATTATAGATGGAGAAAAATAGCACAGATCATATATCATAGTTGTTTAAATGTCGATTGCATAATTATGTGCGTGTGCCAGAAATTAATAATAAATTATACAAAGGAACCCATACTAAATTTATGACTTATGGAAATATTTCGAGAAATTTGCAAATTTATAATAAAAAAAATATTTATAAATGTTTTTTATTAATGTAGAAATGATTTTATTAATATATGTTATTTATATTAATATATATTATTATATGTAGAACGATTTCAACGATGTCGCGTATAAAAATCATAGAGCATCCAACATCTTAATATCTATCATATCATTTATTACACGATGATATCATAATCTGCGCACAACATTCAAAAGTTTAAAGTCTGCCTTTAAAACGTAATCAGAGATGGGGCTCCTTAGATGACAACTTTATTCCCTCTCCTTCTCTTACTTATATCTATGCGTAAATAAAACAGATAAAAATTTCATAAAAAATGCACAAAGATATATTTCTGTTCGATATGCAGAGCGTGCGTCACTCGTTATATAATTAGGTATTACATAATTAATCATCCACAACCAAAAAATACGAGAGGCTTGCTTATAAATACCAATATTAGTAACGACGAAATTTCTTATGATACGTTATCATAAGGTATTATTGTCAAAGTTTATCATTTGTTGAACACATTTCGTTTTGCATACGGTGATGGTATTTTTTTTAACGTCACGTCAGGATTGTTTATCGACGTGATTAATGTACACGCGCTAACGCTGCGTATACAACATACTTGGATAAAAGGCATAATACACTAAACACACAAATGGGACGCATTGGTGACATGTGACGACGGGATTAATAACGTGAAAAGCCGCAATGATCGCACTTAATAATAAAAGCCGCTGATCCAATGCTTGCATAAAAACGTGTATGCAATATAGATATATATGCAAATACTTTTTCAAGCTGTTCTTTTGTCGTATTGCATGTAATCAAATACAATCAAAGTCAATTGAATCTCTTAAATGTCGATTTTTACGCTTATAAAAATACTTGTCCGAATTGCGTCCATTTGTATGCAAATATATGGAATACTTATGAAATCATATATACTTTTTTGAAATTACAAATTTAATCTATGCAAAATTGTTTGACAAATATTTTCCTTTAACAAGAACGATTATTATAGAAGTTTGACAAAACAAGGAATAAATTATATAAATTGAAAAAGCTTTTCGTGGAAAATCTCTTAAGTTAATCTTCTCATCTTTCTCACTATATTTAATTTTTTCAAATTAAAGCAAACTGTATTTTAACAGGCCTTTATTATTTAAAGTGTAGTTATTAAGGAGAGATCTTATGTTAAAAATAAACACAAGCTCTACTGAGAAAATAAATTCATATAAGGAGCGCCACGACGTCAGGCGCCACGTCTCCTGGCGGGACGCCAACATTATGGATTTCCGAATATACCCCAGAGATGTTTTTCTCTCAATCTCCCCTTTTCTAAGTTGGTCAGCGAAGAAATTGACCTCGTATTTGATTCGCTATTGTCCAGCTTATTTTCAAGGATTATCAAAAAGTCATGGAACTTCCTGTAAAACTTCCTCTTAATCACCGGAAATGACGTCTTTCGCCAGAGTTCGTGAAAACAAGATTCTAAAACCAAGATAAAATATCTTCGCGCAAGCGAAAAATTGATGAATATGTATCTGATGAATTATTCAATATTCAACTTGTATTTAAATTTTTGGTTTTTTAATTATAACGTATTTCTTTTTCCTGTATTTTACGTATCTTGTCAAATAAATTTCGTACAAAATAATATGAAAAATTATTTTATTTTTTTCAACGATTAACTCTTGTCGAAAAGACGGAAAACTATAGCGACGTTGATAAAATGTCTAAATTGATCCAAACTTTTAAATTTAAAATATCGTAGAAAAGTTGCTAGAAATTGAATTTCTGACTTTTCTCCCGTTCACAATTTTCGAAAAGAGAATTTTCGAAAAGTTCAGTTAAGGAAAAACTATTAAACGAGTTCTCGATCAAAATAATTTATTAGCATAATATTTAAAATATATTTTATATATCAAAAAAGAGAGATTTTTCGAAAAAGAAATAAATGTGCTATCTGGAAGAATTACGATCTCTTGCAATTTTCAAGATTAATCAATTTCTATTAATTAGATAATCTGAATGCATCGCGTTTACAAAAATAAACACAAATAAATAATATTCAAAATCAGAACACCAATAAAATAAATAATTCTAAACTTTAATCAAACAGTAATAAATTTTCAGTTTTCATAATTATTATTTGTTCATTTTTTGTTGCCAATTTCTAAAATTGTTTTTTAGACATTTATTTGTAGAATAGTGAAGAATAGTGAAATCATTTTTCGAATATTTTTACATGAAACGCGCAAAAGATATAAGCTTTGCACGTAACATAGTCAAGCGATAAAGGCAAGTAATGCTTTTGCATCATAATTATCGACATTGTTATAAATGCACCGAATACACGCTGTGGAGTCCATTAGTGCAGTACGTTGTTGCAGTGTATACGTTCCTAATAGCGAGAAACAAAGATACATCATGAATAAATATATACTGATCTTGCTACTGAGTGCAATTGCTTTGACCAATGTTCAGGCTGGTGAGTTTTCGATAAATAATAATTGTTTTGTGCAATGCTGATTAAAAATTTTCATTCGCAGCTTCAAACTCGAACGAAAAATCGAGCGAAGAAAATAGCAAAGACACTAGCGATGACAGCGAAAATAATACCACTATTAGCATTGACGACGATAATAAAAATGATAGTAGTGCTAATACCGATGATGGTAATAATAAAAATAATACTAGTGTCAATACTGACAATGACAATGGCATAAATAATACTAGTACTAACACTGGTGATGATAATGACAATAATAATAGTATTAACACTGGCGATGATAATAATACAAGTGTCAATACTGACAATGACAATGGTAAAAACGATACTAGTGCCGGCACTAATAATGGCAAAATTCCAGACAAAGATGTCAAACATGATATTCGCATTATAACAGAATGTATGATACGTTCAAAGAGCATAGGAAATATTGTAATGCATATTACTCGGCTCACTAAGATAGTTTTCTTTGTTGTGCCTAGCTTAAGAAATCCATTTATGAATTATTTCTATGCTATTTTTGAAATTGTATTTAACAGATTGATACAACTCAATATTTGGTTGCAATATTTGGAAGCAATCATAAGAAGGATTTTGCCATTTTCAGCGTCAAGCATATTATTCCCATGAAAATTCAAGCTCAAAGATTATTCAAACTTATTTAATTATCCATCAGAATATGCAAAAGTTAAATATAACATGTCGAAATAATTAAACATTCACTTATATTTCTCCGCGTACAATATTATATTTTAAGTTATATTAACACAATGCGCGATATCAGTTAATTGTAACGATAAAAGATATGATAAATATAAACGCTATAATATTTAAAAAATGTATTTCTTTGAAATATTAAATGTATAATTTAAAAAAAATATTTTTAACGGCGACAAATTATTTGCTGTTAGATATATGCAATTATGATTATATTATGGAAGCTGAGCAGTAGTGATAGAACTACTTGGTCAGACAGCACGCAAGCCCTTGCATTCAGACACTAAAATCTCTATGATCGGACACGAAATAGATCTCTGTGGTGAGACAAGTAAAAATTTCTTCCTTTGTCGACGAATTGAGCAATTCAATTCGACGCAAAATAGAACAATGTAAATTTGGTTGAGTCATGTAAATGTATTATTCATCAAAAGTGTCATTGGAAGTCGAATTTAGCTTACTATTTAAAATAATGATGGCGTTTGAATATCATTTATTTTACTTTAAAATTACTAGTATTTTCTATAATAAAACATGTATATTTTATGTTAAATTAAAGAAACTTTATTTGTTACGGCTGCATTTTTGTTCAATATTTTGATGCAAATGTATTACATGTTATAGCTTTATATATTTTCAATAAAAATGTTTGATTAAAAACAAAATAATTATTTATTTATCTGATTATCTAGCATATATCATTATTTTTTATTTACCAATTAATAATCGTCGAAAATATTTATATGTATATCATATATTGTGTATAATTTTTAATATTAATGTATTTTTAATATTAATGTATTTCTAATTCTATTTTATGCAATTGCAAGAAAATAACGAACAAATAAGGAAATTTTCTCATAATCTAAATACGGCAGCATTTATACTTATTCATCAGCACGTAGTTTGTCTATCTCTCTGCGATCTTATCCTGAAGTGGCATTTGACAAATTGACAATTCTAGCGAAAATGCGTATGTATGCACATACACATGATACATATATAATATACATATGCTACGATACGCGCTTATTCCCTGGGAAAAATACATGTGCGAATCGTAAACGCCATAGTATGAAAATATATGCATAGAAATGAGAACTATATATCTGCTGACAGAGGCAACCGAACAAAAACAATGGTCAAACCGAAATACATTGCAGCGATAACATTTCAATTTCGCGTATTTTCGAGAATGCATTCGCTTGTGAAAAATATTCCCATTAAAATTGCGTTAAATATCCAACTTTCGAAAACTCGTTCAGATTAAAGAAATCTCCATTAGAATATTAAAATGACAACAATTGTAGTCACATGAACGAAAAACGTGAGAAAGATTGATTCTAGATTCAATTAAAAAACCTTCTGATCCATTCCAAAAATATGATGATAACGCGAACGGATTTCGTTAAGATCTCAAGACAAATTCGCGCAACATCGTTTCGCAAAAATATTGCGATAAAATCGTCAATTTATTTACGTTTAACAATCACGCATGCCACACATGATACATGAGTTAACTCGACGATACGGGAGCACGAGATCCCTTGAACCTGCGTAGAAGAGGTTAAACGGCCAAGCGTGATAACGATTATTTCTCCTCTCGAAATGATCCATGTTGTTAACAATGTTGTTCACGATCTCTATAAATCGCGAAATTATCATTTGGACAATCAGATTGGCGCTATTTGCAGTCTTTCGTTCTAGTAATATCCTCTTCTTCTGTAATTTATCTCCCTCGCTATTTTTTAGTACCTCGTTATTCTGTAGTAATATCTTTTTACGCGAAGCACATTGATTTTTTATGCATATAATCCTTGGTATTTCCCCTTAAAATTCCGTAGTCATCATAATTAAATTGTTCCAAGGATTCAAGTATCGGACAAAGTCAATGAACGATAAAGCGTTTTATTGATAATTGTACGCGCATTTTATGCTCATCTCTAAATTCTATCCTTAGGTCGCTAAATGCTAGTTGCTCCTTTCTAACGACAGACTCCTCGCATTGCGTGTTCGAGCATTGAACGACAAATAAAACGAACGAAACTTTTTACGCAACGGACCATGAAGAACGCTAATTGGTTTCAAAGGCAGGAGAGCCTTTATGAAGAAAAGTTTCACGGGCGAGATTGAGTGCGAAAACGCGAGTAAATGTTTGCCGTGAGCATTTCGAAAATAAAGAAGGTTAATACTAGGCTTGGCCCGATGGAAAATTTTTAGTTTCTCGTTTATGTTACAAGGCATTCTTGCAATGTTTGTGACACAGCAATTTTTTAATAATGGAAAGCTAATAATACTTTAAAGATTATTTTCAGCAAAAATTCTCATTGTAAATTAATAAAAAATATATAAAATGATAAAAGTACAATAAAACTGAATAATATAAAATAAGAGGATTGTTATCATCAATATATTAAACAATTCATTAAATAAATGATTAAATAAAATAATATAAAAATTGGTAAAATATTAAAAATAAAAAATTTCTAAAAAAATCTATCAGAACATTATAATAAAATTAAAAGAAAGAAAAAGAAAAAAATATTGAATAAAAAATTATTGTAATAAAAATATTGTATTTATAATATTTAAGTATATAAATTATCGCAATTCCAATGTTTTATAAACATATGTTCGTTGAAACAGGTGTTCAATCATATCTGTATTAAATATTGGTACCATTATTAGCACATATTTGCTGTCACTATTGTATTATAACCACATATACTGATCGGTTTATTCACAGTGAGCCTAATAGTGAGGTCACGAGTCCTCGTCGATGTAGGTTAATTAATTCAAAATATTGATTTTTTTAGAAGCAAGGGCATCCTTCGGATCAATTCTCAGTGTCGTCGATTATTCTTTTCTCATGAAACGAATGAAGCTTTGCTTCACGTTTGATTAATTTGATTAGGATACATGAAAAGTCCACAAAGATTTATACATAATAACGTCATTTTTTCTCTTAAAAACTTAAACCAGCAGTTTTAAAGTATTCAGAAACTTACATGTTGAACTAATATGATGTAAAATATTTTTATGTCAACCCTCCAAGGCAATTGCCATCAAACGTAACTTTACGAGCGCCATTTCCAAAAAAGATACGTTATTACAAATATACGATCGTATGCGGTAAATCGTATGCAAATTGCAAAATTTCATGAAACCACTAAATTTGAGGAAAGGAAAGGATAGTAAAATACGCATATATGAAATACCCACGAAATCGCTATTTTCTGGTTGGTCAACGGACGCTTACTTGCTGATCTTGAAGCTGCATGTGTGCCAAGTATATGAAAACAAACCGTAAACATAGTCCACTCCAGACGTATAAATAAATCGGTATAAATCTGTTCAAGAGAATGTATTTCAGTGCGCGCGGTGCATAAGTGTTTTTGGTAAGTAATCGAGAAGCTTTGATTTTAACGATTTTGACGAAAATAAGAGGCATTAAAAATATTATAAATTTTATAAAATTTTTAAATATATATAAATTTTCTTAAATAAAATAATGTGGTATTAAAAAAATATAAGATGATAAAATTCTTAATTAATTAACTTGATAAACATGATTTTTTTTAATCATATTTTTCCCTATATCATGATATTAGGAAAGACAATATTGTTTAATTTTTAAAACGCAATTACAACGTTTGTGACGGGAAGATTCCGCTGTTACATAAACATGATTTTTTTAATCATATTTTTCCTTATGTCGTGATATTAGGAAAGACAATTGTTTAATTTTTAAAATGCAATTACAACGTTTGTGACGGGAAGATTCCGCTGTTCACGCACAATAGAATGAATTCCGGTTGAAGTGATCTTGTCAGCGGCAGTCTCACGGAATCGATGGATTTACACACGAACGCTTCACAATTCCCGCCGATCTCGGCGAGAAATCGGCCTCTATATGTAATCAACGAGCAGCCTCGATGATTCGGTCACGCACGGCACGTTTTCCTCGATATAAATCTAAAACTCTTGAATTTATTGCGTCCGCTTTCGTCCACGAAACAAATGCATTTATGAACGAATTCTTGATAAATACGAAAGGTCCCGTGAGAATAATGGATTCATTTGCTCGTCATAGAGAGATCTGTTTAGAAAAATTGGAGATTGGAAAAAAGCGCGAACATATCCCACATCACGTAGTCGGGTCAAGGTAGTGCATTTGTGGGTCAAAATACAACTTAACGAATTTAATGAAACAAGTGGGAGACGAAAAGTGACACGTAAGTTCAAAAAACGAATGTATCAATTTGAAAAAAGACTAATGAATTTGTAATCAAAATTAAAAACTTAAATTTCTAAAATAAAGAGTGATAAAGAAAAAATTGGTTACGTATAATTCTCTTAAGATTTATAAAACAAAAATAAAAGCTATAAAAATGAAAATTACTAACCGTAATTAAAAAATTAATTATATAGTTTATAAAAGAGTAACATAAAAAACCAGAGCTCTATTTAATTAATTTGAATAGATGAACTATAAATGATCACAAATTGTTTTTCAGGAATTTATATAATATAAAAGTTTGTATACAGTATAAAAAGTGATAAATAAAAAATGATATAATTATAGTTCTTTAGACAAATTTTTAATATTAATGAATATGTATTATATGAAATTTTGATTATATATTTTCTCTTTTAATGATAATAATTAAGTAACTCTGTATGAGGTAATTTTCTCTATTGTATACATCCTTTCTAATTATATAATTTCACTTTTACGACAGTTTAATATTAGATTTCCGCTAAAATTTACTTTACTTCGATTAAAGAGCGATTCTAATTCCAACGCGTTTTTGATTACAAATAAATCTTCATATGTGTGCGAAAATTATAAAAAAATTATAGGCAACGCGAAATTTTTTGCGACAGTAAACTACACTGACTCTCGTTAAGCTTAACGTCAAAGTAAAACGACATGATTTTAAAATGAGTTACAAGTTAACTTTCCGTGTTCAGATTTATTGTTTGTTTCCAAATTCTTGGCTGATAACATTAGCATGAGTCATGTAGACGATATATATATATGTTTTATATGTCAGTTATATACGTCAGTTATTTTATTATTTTCAAGAATTAAAGATTTATCTTTCAACTTCATATACTTTGCAATATTCTGTACAAAAATAATCAAAATACTTATTTTTCAAAGTCGCTTGATTTATTAAATGTAACATTGCAGACTTCCGCGATCAAATACAAATAGAATAACAAAAGATTATAGATTTTTACTATAGATTTCATTAAATGAAACAGGACTCTGTATATGTGTATGTATGTGTATGAGTCAATTCCTAAATAAAATAAAATTTGGAAGTGATAACTGATTGATTTCAGGTCAATCTATATCTCGCAAAATAAAGCACACATACCAAACATGATTAAAACAATCCAAAAATCGTTAGTTTTTGTTATTACTTGTTGATAAAATGCTTAACGCTTTTGCTAAAAGCGTTTGAATGTATATTAAAAATTGCTTTTCTTTGTTAAACTAACAGTACGCATATTGATAATTAACATGAAGAAAAGAATTTATTTTTCAATTTTTTTAAATGAATTTTCTCATATATATATATATATATACTTTTTAAAAAATTGCAATTTTAAATATTGAATTACTTATAAGGAATTACAAGCGCTCTCTCTCTCTCTCTCTCTCTCTCTCTCTCTCTCTCTCTCTCTCTCTCTCTCTTTCTATATCTCTTTCTCTTTCTAATAGTGATTGTGTTAATTTATCAGCACGCGTCTAGATTTTTCTTTTTATTATACTGACGTATGTGTCATTTTGCTTTCAGCACACATTCACGTGAACGTCACTTTGACAAATAAGGAGCATTAATAATATTCTTACGTCACGTATACTCGAGTCAAAAGAATGACGCTTCTTTCAGCGGAAAGAAAGTAACTATAAAGTTGACGTGATATCGTATAATCATGCATGTTACTTTGGACTACGAACGCAAGAATCGAAATCATGTAACAACTGAAAATGATACGCATTTCGCTCATCCGCCGCAGCGCTTATGTTTATGTAAATAAGCCGAATAATTCATAAGGTGAAAATAAGCATGAAATATTTGGGCCGCAGTACAGGAAGAGAAAGGTTGCTAATATATGACCGAAAAGCATAGCTAGAAAGTGCGTGTGAAAAAAGAGCCTGTGTCTGAATTATGCCAATAAATTAAATATGCTATTATATGGGCGTTATTCTAATGAATTATTTTAACGAAAAAATAATAGTAAAAAGTAAAAAATATCTATTATAAATAATAGAGACAAACAATAGAACTTATAAGACACAAAAAACGAGTTTTGTGTATAACTACATTAAAAAGAATCGCAAGGAATTGCATCATTATTTCACATAATCTTCTCTAAAGATGATAAATTATAGATTTTTTTTGTATTTTCATCTTTTCTTTCTAATAATAAAATAAGATATTTATGCAAGATTAATATGCGGTTTGGTTTTGGTTCTACATTTACGATCAAGCCACGTAATTCGTAACGAGCTACCAAGAGCTTATAAATTCCGATATTTCAGCTGTATTTTAACACTTTGTCGCGCAAATAGCGGTAAACTACAAAGAAGAAAATTCATTTAATCTCACAATGACAATTAGGCGACTCGCGTGAAAGATGCAAAGTTTTTAATTTAATTTCCATGTCGAGAATGGTGACTTTATGGAGAAATAATATTTTTACGCTTATATTACCATTATGCTTGTTACGCAAAATTGTTATTATACTTGGCAAGAAGAAATAAGAAAGTCTTTTAATAAAGAGAATGAAATTATTTTGGAAATTAACGGTAGATATATTGTAATATACAAATATGTTTTGCTTTTTGCACAAATATATTTGATTTTTTGATCTTTACATTTTGATTTTTTTTAAAGTCCTCATTTTTTTATTGTTTTATTTTCTTTGAATGTAGAAACAAACATTTCAAAAGGAATTTGGGTTAATTGAACACCTACACGCGTTTACACGTGGCGCTTCCAGGTCAATCAAAAAGAGACAGAAAAAAAATATCGATTCAACACTGGCGAAAGAAAGTAAAATTGCGCCACCGGAAAGTGCAAAAGGCAAACAACGTTTTTACATGGGCCCTCAGAGAGTAAACCGAGCAGATTTACTTTCGGAAAATTACGACGCTGCATTCGCTTTAAATTTTAATAACCGACATTTTTATCTATCTTCAAAGAAGTTTAATTACCATATACGCGTTGCATCTTGGCGGACTTGACGGAGGTTATTCAACAAGCAATCTAAAAAAACATCTTTTTAGAAAGTTCAGAAAAGTGCTCGTGCATAAAAAATAATTAAGAGCAAGGATTCCTTGCGTTTATTGAATCCTTGCATAACGTAAGAAGAAGAATTGAACTCAATTGAAGCACGTCAAATCTGGCAAATACTCCATAAGCGCATATTATATATTCACGCGAAAGAATATTCACGCGGAAATTGACTTCCAGTTTATGCGAAATAAATGAGAAAAGTCTTCGCGCCAAGCCTTTGTGAAATTTTGTTTCGCGTCGAAAAGTTTTCACAGTCTGTAAGGTTTCTCGATAAAATATCGACCTTCAAAAAGAAATTAAAAAACCGAGAAACAATTCCCATTTTTGCCAATTCTTTTTACTAAATTTTTAATTTTTCTCGCAACCCCGTCCTGCTATCTACCATCGTGATTGGGCATCGCAAATGTAAAATTACAATTCTTCTTGTATTTCAAAGAGGAAATAAATTGATCGCGCACTCGGGCGACTTTGTTCTCGCGCTGATTTCGCCGATGCAGCCATGGAAATTGGAAATTCTCGCGGCCGGAATACAAATGATTAACGACCGTCGCGGAAATTGCATGGCTAGGATGTCGAGAGTGTCATCGAGAAACGATTGTCTCTGTCCGAGTATGATAAATGTCTGTTATCCACCAACAAATAAATACAGTCGCGTTTAACGCATAAGCGAATCGTAATTCTTCGATATCGCAAAACAAGGAATTAATCCTGGTTTAATATTGGGACTTCAGGATTTCCCAAGGGAATGAATAATCTTTCTTGGCTTCGCGATTGGCTTTGCTAAACGATTGCATAATTTACGTATACATACAACTGTTTGTATAATCGAGCAATTTTACATTATCAATATTGCGCACAAATTCAGCATTGATTTATGTGTAAACAAAAAAAATTATTCTATTTAATTTCGTAACGTCAGGAGAGAGATTATTAAATAAATCGCTAATGATTATGATGCAAAATTTACATATAAAAATATATAAACATTTTACACTTATCTGTGTGATAACTCGAGTATACAAAAGGAGTATACATAAAGTATAAGTATGTATGGTATTTTACATTAATTATTCCAAAAAATAATATTAAATATATTTTTTAATTACCGTTATTTTAAAAAAGGGCAAAACAAAATAACGAAGTTTTTTCAATGTCTAGCGCGTTCTATAAAAATAATTTTTACTTATATTCATGTTACAGTACTATGTCGTTGAATTTATTTAAAGATACAAAGAATATAATTTATTCCAAAAATGTGACCTTTAGAAATTGAACTCACATTTTCATGATCTTTTTGCACGCGCGCGCGTTTAAAATCATTTCAATAATACATTCCTAACGGATTCCTCCCGAGATTTTTTATATGTACATATAACACAGAATCTCTGAGATTTGCAAGATGTACAAGAAATCAAGCGGTGGAAGAATATGTCGCGAAAAAGTATAGAGAAGAGGAAATATAAGTATTATTAAGCCGTACCTTTAGAGATGCCATGTCGGACACCGATCGATGCGTTTGAATGGTTTCCAACTGGTCTAAGCACCAGTCTAACTCCTCTATCGTTTCAACAGCCAGTTTCATAAAGGGCTCCTCTGCAAAATTCAGAAAAACAAATTTAATACTATAAAAAAAGTGCTTGTGTACTAGCAAGCAATAAGTCAAACATTGAAAAATGTTATCTGCCGATACGATTGTAATCTGAGTTTAATCGGGCTTAATAAAATCCTGAAATCTTTGATCATTTATATTTTCATATTTTCAAAATTTTATAAAATTCTTTGAAAATGAACAAAATATGTGAGAAATATTTTTTCGCGCTTTATATGCGGAATATGACAATATGAAAAATAAATATTGATATTTCAGAAATAAAAAAAAAACGCAAGGTTCACAAAAAAAAACTAACTAGAAATATACATTTAGCAATTGGAATAACGAATGCGGTTTTTAACAGAAATTTAATTAAACAATGAAATCGATGAGAAACTCTAAGATATTTTAAATAATCGAAACTAAATACACAGAATTTAAATACACTACATGCGAAAGTCACATACATAGCCATAATTACTAATATAATCTAAAAAAGAAGAAAATTCTCGCCAGAAATTTAAACAGCTTAAGAATTAAAAGAGGATGTACAACGTGATATGATACAATATTAATAAGAGGATAAAAATAAAATGCTTTTAAAAAAATTGAAGAAATACAGTTCACATAAAGTTCATTTATATGTAATAAAAATCTCTGAGAGTAATCAAAAATAAAAGTTAAGCAATATTTAATATATGAAAGTATACTGCGCTTTAATTTAAAAAAATCGGTAGAAATAAATAATCGATAAAATAAATAAATAATATAAATATATAAATATATTTCTTAAAGCAATTACTCGTCGTCGTTAACCATTAAATCTCGCTTAGAGAAGACACGAAAATTTGTTTTTTAATTTGAAAATGATCTTCCGCGAATTATCAATAAATCGAAAAAAAATAATCGTGATGGAAAAAATATGACAATATGTGTGTATTAAATTAAATAAATATGATAAAAATTTGCTAAAAAATTGAAACAAAGTCTCTATGAAAATTAGGAGATCTATTTCAAGCCAAAATAATTATAACATAGTAAATTTTTTATTGTTATCTTACCTCCTGGCGCCAAAATCCGTGGCTGTGGCGTACTACTGCCCTGTTGCCCACTACTCCTTCGCGATCTGCAAAAGATGGATGAAAAATTAATGAAAAAATCGAGCCGATCGCGTCAAATCAAACGCACACGGTAATCTACTTACTTATTTGTCGGCACATTCGTGAGCGACAAGAAATTGTTCCTGACCGAGCGCAGAGAAGCAAGAATCTGTGCGAAGGGTGTAACGATGAGATCCTCGCCATGGCTGTAATTGAAAGAGAGAAGACATAATTCATCATCGACATCTTGCTGATCCCCGTATATTGATAGGGCAAAGTTCGACGGCTTTGCTATGAATCTTTTTCCGGAGTGTCTACGTCGCTTCGCGTGTAAATTGCATGCAGACGTGATAGCTCGATAACGTTACAAACGTAATTCCCATTCTGTCTTTTTCTCTCATACACGCATGTGTACATTAGATATATACATAAACACACTTGCACATTTTTGCACGTTTTATCATAAATATTCAAGAATTGAATTTGAAGAAAAAAATCAAAGCGTACAAAGTACACGATTTCATGAAAAATCCTTTTTATAGTGAAAGAAGTAATATACTGTTTTACATAGAATTGCATCAAGAGCATACAACATTTAGAAATAAACTATATTCTCGAATATTTGAAAAATAAAAGAGTAAATCATACGTAGATATACAGAAATATTTATTTATTTAAAGATATTGGATAGCTTCTTGCACGGATAGCTCCTTGTTTGCGCTCTGAATATCTTAAATAATAAGATTATGCGTTTAATTTCTACACGTTCCCTAAAGAAATTGCGACATTTTTTTTCATTTCATTTATTATTGCTTTGCAATTATGTGTGAAATAGCTTCCATTTATTATATTATTGCTTTAATTTCTGCCATATAGTGAGAATTTAATTTTATCCTACATAACGTGAGTTTATTGTGTGTACCGTCTATTTAATTGCACACAGAATTTTATCCTTTTTTATTTCTATGACCATCCAATATGTACTCCCGGTGTATATACGAACCATTTTACTTTAGTCATTTTTTATTTGTCCCTGAACTTAAGAGATTTTCTGTTTTCCATCCTCCTCGCATATCTAGCATCCGGTGATATATTATATATTGCATTTATATATTGCATTTCTTACAGCATTACCATAACAAATTATACACATTTACAACAATTAAGAACGCGTACATATTAGCATGATGTTACAATTTAGTATACTCAAAATATAATGAAGGAATGCAAAGTATACACGTGTGCTATCATACATGTATTACTTATTTTACATGAATAAACTGACAATATTACGTGAATGCTTGGGTAAACGCACGTGTATAATAAGCGAGATTACAGAGGATTTTGCATCAGATTTTTCATGAAAGCCTGCATAAAATCTTCGGAGATGAATAATTCTTCATATATTTCAATAACAATACATAAATATCATCCACAACTACTTCATTTTTATTGAGAGAGATTCATAATTCGTGATTCAGATTTCATTTCTGCAGTTCTCCTTGTATGTATCCTGCTGAAATAATACGAAGAATATGTTACTGACAAGTTCTTGCATACGCAAGGACAAATTCGCATACGACATAATCAACGTGCAATCATTATTCATCTCCTGCTTTCTTCTTATTCCGCGAAAGAAAGTTTCTTCTTCGCGAAGAATATCACAGCGGTTGAATAATTTTGGCAATTATTCATTTCACCTCCTAGCTAAATTACTACGAATGACTCTTGCTGCAACGAGAATCTTCAAGAATAAACACCGCTATTAAATAATTATCAATCAACCTTGCTTGTTCAGCGGTATCATATATAAAAGCAATATGAATAAATGCAAAATGTTGAATATTACGATAAAAGTAGCTTAAAATTGTACTGCAGGTCGACATGACTGTATAATAATGTCTAAATAATTTACATAATTTATTTAATATATTGTAATAAAATAATATAAAGATTAAAATTCCAATATCACTTATGTGAAACTTTATTAATATTATTCTCTTATATTTCACACATTTTACACTCTTATAGTTTATCAAGAGTGTGTATGTAATTAACTTGATATCATTCAAAATGTATTCTCTGATATAATTATATATAAAATAAACTCATCCTACTTCTATATTTAATATCTCAATTTGTTATAATTGAATAATCATATAAAGATTGATATTGCAATATTACGTGTAACTCTATATTAATATTTTGTTAAGAGATATATGTGTATGCATACATAATATAATGTAATATATACATATGTATAATACATTAAAAAAATAATATTATCATGAGTGCAATTATAATCGATCTTTTCAGATATTCTCTCTATAATATCTCAAAGCGTTTTGAATATCACATCACAAAGTGCGTACAAAGGTCTCGATCTAAAATTGGATGTCACAAGTGACAGCCAAGAGAATCACGACACGCAAAAACTTAATATAAACAACAACTAGTGACGTACATCTTCACTCTGTAATATTAATAATATTACTATGCTGCTTAAATTGGGATGTGCACGATTCTAAAGTACATGTATAAGCACGGATAATCCTAATTAATTGCTAACATCTCGTATGAGATACACGAGGACAGGCAAATGAGTTGAGTGGTAATGTTAAAAGGAATTTACATTGACACATACACTGATGAGATAAAATTAATTAATTCAAGTAGAATGTATGGATGTATGTGCGTGCGCATGGAGATTAATTATTTTCATGTAAAAATTTGTGAAAAATAATTTATTCGTACAACCGGAGATATCGTTTTTAAAAAATCTTTTGTAATTTATAAAAATAAATACATATATTATAAAAAATATTTTTAATAAATAATATTCTATGATCTCTTTTCGACATTATTACATAAGTAATCATTCTGATATTATTTGGCAAATTAGCATGTTTTAGTACGGAAAGATATAATATATTTTAATACTAATAACAAGTAAAGAAATTGATACAACTCATACGTGAAAAAAACACAATTTAAATATTTAATATATTTTAATTAGACTCGCCTGCCTCTCGCATAGAACTACGCAGATATATAAATTAATATATGTACGTGCATGATATAATAGGAGCTTTCCTATAAATACTGCAGAAAGGTCATAAGCTACGAGAAATGCCGACAGCAAATTTCTCTACTAAATTCGCACTATTATTCGTCATTTCAGAAAAAAATATTTTCATATCAATCATAGGTCATAAAGAAAATCAAAATCTAACTGTCAAACTGTCTAACTGTCATAAATATTACAAACAAGTGTTATGATTTTTTATATATTATTTTAATTTCCGCAATTCAGATAAATTGAGATTTACTATAAATCCAAAAATATAAATAAGATCCATTTCCGCTTCATCAAAATTTTTATTATTTCAATTGCATTTTTAAAAGTGAAAATAAATATTGATATTATGTGATATAAATCTCTTTTTCATAGACATGGAAAATTTTCACATTTGTTAGTTAACTGTACTTTTTTAGTTTTTCCAGAATGTGCAAAAACGTTAAAAGAAATAAAAAAACACTCATGCTCTCTCACACAATGAGAGGACATAAAACGAGTTGATCCGTTGCCGGTAAGAGTAGCAGAAACGTGACATATTTTAGAAATACGTTTTACTGTTGCTGCAATATCTGTATTGCAAGAGGTCTAGGAATAACGTAGGTGGTTAAAAAGGGAAACTCATAACACACTCATTTTACTCGATCTAAAAAGGAAAACAAATCGTGCAAAATAAATGAAATGGGATTTTTAAAATATAGATATCTTATACTGTCCCGTTTTTCTTCACGATCCGCTCGAGAAAAGCGTATGATTGTGCAACGCATTTGAACGGCAATATTATAGATAAAATAAAATTAAATTTCACGTGTTTACCATATGTCACTAATTTCCATTAAGATATAAATATATAAGGTAACATCCGAATAAACTCTTAACAAAGTGCTGGCAAAGGATCACTCCGATGTATCTTCAAAGCGCTCATGTCGTAATTTTCTTTAAACAAGGAAGACTAAATAACTTCGAGTATCCGATACGCGTCGTGAGCGAAGTCATTGAAATAACTAACGACCGCAAAAATGTATGAGATCGACGTTCTTCGAGAGTTCCCAAACAACAGTTTTTCATCTCATCATGAGCGACGATTAATTGCAACGGATGACCATATAATTGTGTCCGACTGCGAGAGGACTAGAAATTCGGAGTTTAATATCGGTATATATATACGCCAGCACACAAGCAAGGCGTTAAATGTGACAAATGAAGCAGCAAAATTCTCGTGCGCGCCCAAGAAAACAACTTGGCGCCGCATGAATGGCAACAATGATACAGCGCGGCGACGGTGGTATTTGTCTCTTTCCCCGTCTTTGTCTCCCTCCGTCCTATAAACGCCTGCGATAGGCAATGAAGCTTGATTGAAGTGTAGTAACATTGTTCGACTATTGAACACAATAATGTTGTTCCTTTTTTCTCTCTTCTTCTTCCTCGGAACAAATAGAAAAATCTACAAATTTAATGCGAAGGGATTTATATCCTACGAGCCTTTCACCTTTAGCAAGAATTTTCTATATTTCTATATCCTCTTTTCAATTGTTTTCTCTCTTTTATCTCGTTTCCTGTGATATAATTCGTATTTTCAATTTTTAGATAGAAAAAAGAAAATATGAAAAGTTTGAAATATTTTTTTTTTTAAATCACTGATAGAATTTTTGTCGAGTACTCGATTATTTTGATATCAATTTTTATAGGAAATTTGATATTTTTATATTTCTCAAGATTTTTGTTGAATTTTATCATGAGTATTACCTTTCTTAAGATAATGGAAAGATTAGAAGTAAAATCAGTCTATTATTTTTCTGATACATTATATATAATTATACAATTTTATATATAATTATACAATTTGTTAAATAACTTGCTTCTTTCCAACGCTATTAAGTTATTCTATAACGAATCATAATATTTTATTATAAATAATCAATGAATAAATTAATAAATAATTAATTGCAAGTTTTTATTTTAAGACTTCAATATTCTTATTGTTACTTGATCAACATTAGTTGCGCAATAATTCTTGCACATGTAACACATTAATAGCAATATTATTACGTAACATTATTAATTAGCCATCCATTACCTGTATTATCGAGAGAAATCAATCAAATTTCTAATTAATAATATATTAATTAC